CTGTTGACGGGTACTGCCTTGGTAAATGCATACATTTTACACCAACAAGTAACAAATCAAAAAATGAGCGTTACAAAATTCAAAGAGGTTGTAACAACAGAATTTCTGAATGTGGGAAGCCTGTCAAAACCAAACGAAAATATCGAAAACATGCCATATATTCAACATATTCTTGAGGATGTTGGAAGGGCAGGCCGAGGAAGGTGCAGTTTATGCTATGAAACACTAGCACGCCAACTTGGGCGCATTCATGCACAAGCTAAGACGCAAAAAACCAAATTGAAATGTTTACAATGTATGAAACACTACTGTTTGTCATGTTTTTTTGAGGTGCATCGCTGTACAAAATAAATAATGTTTATTAATGTTTTTATAAAGTTTGAATATTACTTTTTTGTATTTATATTTTTTACAGTTTTTTTTGGACTACAATAATTATAAATATAATAATTAGCTAATAAATATTGTTTAATTTCAATGACATAGGTAACAGCCACGTGTACCCATACAGCACACTAAGTTCACAGGCCAAATGCAAATTCTACATATAACAGCCACATATTCGCGTCCCCATATGAAACTAACGCGGTTGAAATCCAGCTGTGGGTACACGCGGCTGTTAAATATTTTTCTGCTTGAGTCCCCACAGTGTAGTCTCGCGGCCAGATCTGTCGATTTCCTGAGATCCCTCTTTGGATACTCACGGCAGTCAACGTGTTAAATGAAATGTTTTCCTTCAAGTAATAAGGTTTAGACGTGAGCAGCAATTTGTGAACAAAAACTGAATAGTGATACTTGACCATGTCATTAATTTTTAACCAGTTTAGAACAGGATATTTCGCCGATACATGATCAAATTTACGTAAGCCAAAAATGAATCGTATACAATTGTTTTGAATAACTTGAATAACGTTTTTAGTGAAATTGTCTAAACAAGTATAGTACGATATTACAATAATTTAGTATAGATATGACCAATGCTTCACATAGTTTTTTACGCATCTTAAAATTTAGTAAATACCTGTTTGCTATAAGAGTGCGCAGCCGTAGGTAGGTTTTCTGAGATAGACTTTTAACATGTTCGATAAACCTTAATTTTGTATCAAAAACAACACCAAGAATTCTTGCAGAATCAGAAAATTGCAAGATTTGGTTATTTATCGGAATGTTCAAGAGCTGTGTTATATTGCATGTTTTTCTTTGTGCGCAAAATAATAACATTTTAGATTTTTGTGGATTAATAAGTAGATTGTGATCTAAAGAGTATTTAATTAATTTATTAACATCGTTTTGTAAAATTTGAGTAGTATTATTGACATTATCTGGGTTACAATAATGAAGCAATTGCGTATCGTCTGCAAATGACTGGACATGAGAATTATCAATACTTTTGCTTAAGTCGAACGTATATGTGAGGAACAGAAGCGGCCCCAATACAGAGCCCTGAGGTACGCCTGAGGGAATTATTGTCACTTGAGACATTTCTTGATTGAGAAAAACACACTGAGTTCTTTGATGAAGGTAACTGTCGAAAAATGAAAGGGATACACTGTCAAGACCTATGTAATTTAATTTAGCAAGTAATAATTTATGATTGATGCTGTCAAAGGCTTTCGAATAGTCTATAGAAATTAAGGCTAGTGCCATTTTCTTATCTAAGGCACTTAAAATATTGTCTTGTAGATTAAGTAGGGCAGATGTTGTACTATAATTTTTTCTAAATCCGGATTGAGTGTCGGGAAGTATAAAGGATTTTTCTAGGTAAGCGGTCAATTGGCACTTTATAATTTTTTCTGAAATTTTGGATGAAATTGGTAATAACCTGATAGGTCTGACATCATTATACTCAGTGGGTTTCATTTTTTTAGGAATTGGAATAATTAGAGCTTGTTTCCATGTGTTTGGAAAGTAGCCTTTTTCCAAACAGTCGTTAAAGATGTGGCCGATGTGATGGAGAATAACTGGCAGGCAAAGCTGGATCATTGACAGGGATATACCAGCAATTCCCTTTGCATCGGATTTTAGGCTCCCTATTGCCTGTAATACGTCATTTGAACTAATCTTATTCAATGAAAAAATATATTCAGAGCTCAATTTATTTTTGAAATAGTTTTCGCAAACTAGTGACAAACTAGTGAATCAACAGGTTTATAGCTATAAACAGACATAAAATAATCATTAATTTTGGTAGGGTCATTAAAACTTGCCGGGAGGGTTGGTTTACTACGAAAATTTATATCAAGTTATTTGAGAGACATGGAACCTCAAGATAAACATGACTTTTATTTCAATTTTGGTCAGAAACCTTGTCTTTTCTGAAACCCTAGGTGATTTAAAATTCCCATCTGAACTCAAAATTAGTTTTCTCTGTACAGCACTTTGAAGTATATTTACTTGGTTTTTAGTAATATAGCTTTCGTTAGTCAGACCACAGTCGGTTAACCATGGACAGCTGTTTCATACAATTTGGAAACTCCTCAGCATGTTATAGGCTTCGTCTCAGGTAGGACACCGAACAACTTATACCTCGCTGCAAAACGTGTCTATAAGTCAAATAATACGGTTATATTTACTATTACTATTCGTCATTATTCGTCAGAGCGGTCCGGTGGACCTTTGCTCTTAGTTAAAAGTCTCGTCGGTCTGTTAATCTGTCAGGTCTGGCTACCTAGATACCAAACATGTTTAAGGGGAAAAGGGAAAGAAGGAAAGAAAGGAAGGAAGCGATAGAGCAAAGAAAGGAAGTAAATCATTTGAAATGGCATTGGAATTTTGTTTTCAAAATATCAGTATGTTTCTGCCAGGTCAAAACCCTTGTCAATGATGACTCCAAGATACCTGACAGATTGCTCCCATGGTATACGGGTTCCATTCACTGATATCTCAGACGGAGCACCGCGGCGTTTTTTAGTACAGTAGATTGCCTGCGTTTTCGAAGTATTAATTTTGATCAACCACCGATCCGCCCACTCCAATACTTCCTCCACCGCAGTCTGCAGCCTGTCGTGAACCAGGTTACCAGAACAAGACTGGGCCAGCAATGCAGTGTCGTCAGCATAGAGATAGACTTCACAGTTGCTGGGGCAAGGGACGTCATGTATATAAAGTGAATAAAGGATTGGTCCTGAGACCGAACCCTGAGGAACACCGGCTCTTACGGGCGTGTTGTTGACAACACATTGTTAATTTTGATCCGAAACGTCCTTCCTTCTAGAAAAGATTTCATCAGTTTTAGTAGCCACAATGGAAAACCCTTTTGGATTAGCTTATACAACAGGAACATGTGCCACACGTTGTCAAATGCCTTTGATACATCTAAAAGCAAGATACCAGTACCTTTGTTCAGGGTAAACCCCCTGGTTACATGCTCCACCAGTCTAACTGCCTGTAGCTCCGTACTATACTCAGACCGAAAGCCGAATTGTACGTCAGGAATCACATGGATGGTGATCTGACGAGAAATTCTCACGGTGATGATAAATCACCTTTTCAGCGAGCTTAGAAGGAGCTGACAGCAGACTAATGGACGGTAATCCTGGGGAAATATCGAACCTGCCTTATTTGGGATCATGGTGACTTCAGCAACCTTCCAGGCCTTCGGAAAGTAATGAGTTATGAGCATTGCATTGATTATTGCCATCAGATAAGTTCAAACCTTGAGTGAAAGCAACATCAGTGCTTTGTCGGCGATTTGATCTTCTCCAGGTGCTTTACGCACCTTTAGGTCTTTAATGTGACCTTGGAGCTCTGCTGGTGTGCAAAACCGAATCTCAGATGATTCCGTTGATGTGCTATGCTGAGATTCATCTGAAGAGTTGTTGGTATCGCCATTCGCTCTGAAGTATCTCCTGATAGATCTTACAATTTGTCGTTCCTCGTCAAGGTCATTGTCCAGATCATAATTGGGAGAGAGCTGCCTTTCCATGACGTCAGCAAAAACTTCCACTTTATGCTCAGTCCTGAAAACTATGCCTCCAGGACCATGAATATGTAGTAGTTGTTCTTGCCTTCCGTTTCTGAGCAGAGAGGAATGCTTGATTCAAGCATCCCCGCCAGAAAGTCTCTCCACTGCTCATTGCGGAATTCATGGAGTGCATTTCTCACTTCATGGACGAGATTCGTCGGTCTACGAATGACATCAGGATGAGCGGTTATATTGATACCTAGTTTGTTTCTTATTTGTGCATATCCTAAGTATTATTGGGAAACATCACTACGACAGAAAACAGGGTATTATCAATTTCCAAGAAACCGTTGATTTTTTCATACTTTGAAGTAAGGTTTCAATTAAATTTCGTATAATCGGGTTTTAATCACTTATAAATCCGTATATGGCAAACATTTTAAACAATGCGAGAAAACATGACGTTTAAAAATCGAAAGGATGAGCACTTCTCAACTTCAGCGAAATTGCTTACGGTGCTGGAGCTGCTTTGCTGAGTTGCAGATGTAATATCGTTGGCTTCAAGATTAAATCCATGAATAAAACATTCTAGTTTCATTTTCGCGAATGGCATTAAGATAGTCTTGTTTGCTTTTCGCGGCGACACTCGCGAAAATGTATTAAAATTTGAATTTGATACGAGTAATGTATACATGAGGTGAAATAACATGGCAGTGAAACTAAAAATTAAAACATGGGGTGCAAGTCTGAGACTCTTTCATTTTTCTGTGGTTCTAGATTTATACCAGTTTTATAACTGAATCGGACATTTCAAAGCTTCATAAATCACACAACTTATAATTTATAGATGAAAACTGTGTAGTCATACTTAACCAAATCATTTATTTTCCGCTAATCGATTAATGTTACCTCTTGGTACCAGTTCTTCTGAAATATGCAGTGCGAACTACTTTATGAACAAACACCAACATAGCGTAAACAAACTTGCACTGCTCTCGAAATGTTACAGTGTTCCTCTTCGTGTCGTTCTTGATAACAATTTTCTCCTTTTTTATTTCATTTAGATATAATAAATAGTGAGATTCATTTTTTACAGGAAAGTTTGACAGTGCAGGGGTAGCCCAGGGCAGTTTAGATGAGAGCATAGGAAAAATCCAGGTGTTGAGGCTAAACGTGCACAGTGAGAGTGACAACTGGGCAATTCTTAGCGAAGTAAGTATTACTCCTGTAGATGTTTTTTTAGCAATTCATCTTGGCCGTCTTAGATATTGGTGATAAAAAAAGAAAATTCCGTATCCCTTTTTTTTGGACCAGCATTCTAAATCCTTTTCATCTGATTATTTCATGGTATGCATAGAGATGATCAAAAAACAATGTTATCCACAAATGACGAATCACATACAAATGCTGAACTTGTGAGCGATAATAAGTATATTGTATCAAGTTGATAATGTCGTCAGCATACCTTTTTTCAAGCTACTCCACGGATAAAATGAATGTTCTCTTAGATTCACATCCAAGATGAGCTGGCGGCCAGGTGACAGTCATCGCAAGCGCCGTCGCGTTTCCGATGGTCTCCTGCCTCCGAGGACCCGATTTCCGCTTCCGGCAGTGACCGCTCGTCATTGCACCCGCTGTGATATCCGGTGATATGGCATGGACGCCTACATCGGACTTACGAAACTCTTATTATCATTCTGATGGTCAACGTGGCCCTACGTTGAAGACTACACGTTTGGACTGCTAGCGTGACTACAGTTTCTCGAGCACAAACCACAAAACAAACATATAGACGCACAGAAATAATTCTACTCGTTAACTTGGCACTTCGTTGAGTATGTCGTAGGACAGGAGAAAATGTCAGATTCCACTAGTATTTCAGTGAAAAAATGGTTCCAGTAGGTAAAATCCTTTATATTTTACTTTTAAAAATAGTTATGCATTATAAACAATATCACAATATTCTTTTAAAGAAGGTATAATCGCCACATTACTTTGATAAAATATAAAATAGTTGAGATATAAAGGAATGTCACGCGCCATGGCTTGTTTAATAACTTACTTTCTGCTATAACAGTACATATATCCTTATATAGCATAATTTCATGCGAAATCTGTGATCGTTCTTTCTGTCACGACCTTGGTTCGTTCTTCAATTGTTTATAAAGCGAGTAGATTTTATCATTTGACTTTGGTAATACTAGCCTTTGTTTTAGATTTGGTAACACTATTTTACGTCAAACAGTTTCATAAGATGGTGCGCGTAATGTTTTTTCTAACCTGGTCTGTCTCTGCATTTCTTGTGTTTGGTTGAGCTTACCACGTTAGGACCGTGATTGTAACATTAGGAATAATTATGCACTTTTACTAGTAGCATATATCACTTGGTCACAAATTTTATAAATTAGCAATTAGCAAAAAATTTAGACCGAAAACAGATTTTAAGTTAACTGACTCATTGTGTGTTCTATGGTCACAACCATGGAATGAATACTACCACGGTTGTGACATTTTTTCATGGTAGTGACATTTTATCGGAATTTGAGCTCGATTAAGTTTATCATAGAAATCATCAAAATAATCCACTCGAACTTTTCATTTGTTACTGAAAATAGGAATGACTCACTAGTGCACAGTGACATTTGCTTCCTTTATTTGAGGGATCCTCATTGCAATCACTCCTCAAGTCTTGCTACTTGATCGGGACAGCAGAGTTGTAAAATGTATTTCTCAAGAAAGAAGGTTCATTCATACCTATCGATTTTCAAAGACGTTTATTTTGTGACTTCCGTATATCACGATTTCCCTTAAGTAACGCATTTTGGTTGGGCTTTTAGAAAACACATTTCGCAGCAAGCGTCAAATTAATAATGGATATCATGTGGTAATAAAGACGCCTCAGAAGTAGAAAGGCCGCTTTCTTTGTTGTTTGGTAACTCTCCTGTCACTGCCAAGTATAAAGATAGTTAAGGCTTCATCATGTTACAGAAGCCTTACAGAATGTGTGTTGTCATCACGATAAGGGAACCTTATCGCAGCGTCTTCGAGTATATTTGTTTTTTTGGTTTATGCTCTGTATTTTGAAACGTAAGGTAACTATGAGAATTTAACTGGAATAAAAAAACTAGTCTAAATTGATGGAATTGTGGTATCTTTCTGACAACTGGGATTTTCCATTTCCTTAAGATTTCGTACTTTAACGCCTGTGTGACTGTATGGTTGCTGCACTTTCTTTGTGAAAAGTTTGAACCATAGTTTTACCTAACCTCAGACCTATGAGTTCCTTGAGATGAAAAAAAATGCATACGTATCAGAAGATTCTGAAGTACAAGCTGTTTTAAAAAAAGGTTAACGTGGAATTTGATTTCTTAGATTTTTGATTATCCTTTCTTACGTTTTTCAGGATAAGTGGAAGTAATAATCAGTGTAATAAATTATATTTTAAAAACACACTTGCATAGCAAATCGAACTGAAATGTAGAAAATAATTTCAAAAAGATACAATTATTTATTTAAAAGCTCGTGGTGCTTTATTTTAAATGTAAGAATCATTTTTTTAGTTGCTATCTACAAAATTTATTATGAAAAATATAGTTAATTGCATCCCAAGCTTTTTTACTATAATTGAATTTTTTTAAAGTTATTTTCTATTTTTTATTATTTGCTGTTAAAGGTTTTTTTAGTTTCTTAAACTGTAATTTATTTTCTGAATTTTTAATCTCAAAACGACAACAAAATTACTTATAATTTTTTTCAAAATTTTCAATTATTTTCCAAACTTAAAATTCATTTTTTTCAAAATTCTCAAATTTATTTCTCAATTTTTGAATCAAAATTTCACAATGTACATCTTTCTTTCAGATTCCCAAAACATTTTCAAAATTTTCTTAAATTGTTTTTAAAAAATTCAAAATAAATTGTAAAAATGTTCAAATTCGATTTTTTTTCTAAGTACTATTGTCATCGGCCCTTGACCCTTGTGCAAATTTTCAACTTAATCAGACTTCTTGAAAATCAGGTTCAAAGATTCCGTGACATACCTACATACATAGCTAATAAAGGCATGCAAAAAAATCGTAACTTTTTTTCAACACCAATTAGCACTGTTATTTACGATCAACAAAGAAATTGCTCGTATTTTTTATTTTATTTTTTATTCATAACAGATCAAATGTTATTTTGGAATAAAAGCTGAAATCATTCGAAATGTATTGTTTGGTATTCCCACAAAACGGAAATACCTGATAGGCCCTTTAGTAGTAGATGAATGTACTTTTCAGTTATATGTTTTATGTTTTTGATCGGCAGAATATAAATGTGATGTAAATTGTGGCATGCTCAGTTGCTTAACAATATTTTGGTTTGATTGATGATACTGGTCGGGTATACAGGGTGAGTAAGATATGTTTTATCATTGATTACACATAATGATTTCAATGGGATCTGGTATCACACTTCAGCAGAAAATATCCAATTCAGATGAAAGCAACTATATGTATACGTGTCGACCACCGTCTTTAGGTGTCAAAGCTGCCACTCAAAGGACAACTTGAATAACTGTTTAGCAGTTAGCAAAAAATTACACTACATTTAATCTGGCAGTACTTCAAGGTTCACAAACCATCATTTGGGCAACTTGAGAACTAAACTCGGTTAACATTTTTTCCAAACAAAACTACAGTGTTTCGCTATACAATTTTGTATCGTGACAAACCGCTTTTGGTGGAAAATCCTTTATTAAGAGTTTTGTATGATCAGTTATACGAGGGTGACTCAATAAGTTGCAACGCAACATGTGTAGTCTCAATACCAAATTGCATAATTTGGGTTATGAGCTGTTCCCTCATCCGCCTTATTCTCCGGACTTAGCCTCAAGCAACTATTTCTTCTTTCAAAATCTAAATAAATGTCTGCGAGGACCTCGACAAATCTTATTTTTTGGAAGCGATAAAAAAATTGGAGAAACGTGCATAAAGCCTAGATGAAAAACAAAATGATTTTTGTCAAAAAAACTGTCATGGACCTATTGACCCGACCTCGTGATATTTCAGATTTGAAATTCTCCTTATCATATCTAGAAAATAAAATTAATAGAGCAGATAGCCAGAATTTCGTTGACTTTCAAGGCAATTCCAGAAGCATAATTTTATTTTTTTAACTACCGATCTGAAAAAGATACCAAATCCTATTCATTCACGCATACAATAAATACTGCCTTTTAACGTATGGAGCGTAACAACCGTGTCTTTGTTTTTTGGAAATCAATAGACACCAGACTAAACAAAAATCGCTGCCCTATTGTTTTCGCGATATGCGTTGTGCGTTTATGTTTTTGTTGAACGAAATGAATCGAAAATACGAACGAATCACTAAAATATACAATATAGCGAGCCATATTCCTGCGTAACTGTGAAGGTATGCTCTAAATTAAATGAAACTCTGCATCATTCTGTCGTATTCAGGGTGGCCCAAAAGTAATGGTGCATAACTTAACAGCAGATTCCTTTCAAAAAAATATTGAGATTAAGTTAAATTTTCTTAGACCGAAAGCCAAAGGCAACCAAGATACAGCGTGATAAACTTATTGTAATTTTTTTTTGAATTATGGTATTATTCTTCGTTTTTAACGAAGTTTGGCATATGAGGGTTTTTTTATATGGCAAATCTAAAAATTTACCTTTTTCCAAATTATCTTATACTGGGCGCCACGAGCAACTTTTTCCGTTTTTTTAAACGTCGTAACTTTTTTACGCTTGGTATAATTTAATTTTTTATTCAAAATATGCATTGTGCAATCATGTTTGCTTAAAAAAGGTATACTTTGAAAATGTCGCTATGATTCACCAGTTTCGAGATATTTACATTTAAACCTTTCAATGCACTCATCAAAAAAAAAGTTACATCCATAAACTGCTTAAGTTCCTTTATTATACTTCGAATGAATGGTGAAATACAAACAGTTTCCCAAAGTCTCTGGTAAACGCCAAGATACAGCGTGATAAACTTATTGTAATTTTTTTTAATTTTGGCATTATTGTGCGTTTTTAACGAAATTTGGCATATGAGGGTTTTTTATATGGCAAATATAAAAATTGACCTTTTTCCAAATTATCTTATACTGGGCGCCACGAGCAACCTTTTCCGTTTTTTTAAACGTCGTAACTTTTTTACGCTTGGTATAATACAAACAGTTTCCCAAAGTCTCTGGTAAACGCTTTAAAAAAGAGTAAAATATAACTATCTAATATTTGGACACAATTGCGACAAGCCCTTAACCCTAGGTTAGTCGCGTCTCTTATCCGCACATTATTAGTCGCGTGGGTGACAAGTGTCAACCATCCTAAAAAACAACCTACACAATATTTTTCCAAAAATATTTATTAAATAAGAAACAAGATATTCTCTATAAGCCTTGACATAAAATGTAGGTTGATTTTAACAACAAAATATATTTAAAACATAAGATAACTGTGAATTACTACTTCAGTCGTTGTTTTCATAACATCGCACACAAATTTCTTTTAGGTGGTCATTGCAAGCAAAATTTTGACACTGCGCGCAAAGTTTTCTAGTTGTTTAATCTCGTGCTCTTCCGCAGTAGTAACAGCGCCCTCTTGCTCCTCTTCGATCTCTTTGTTCAACTACAGAAGTTGAGGGTTCCAAACCCAGCACTACCATTGACCTGCGGCGAAGTTCCCGTGGAATTTGTGAAATGTAAGCTCTTCTTTTTATTTGTGGTGTCAACATATATACCCATGCTAAGCTTTGCAAGAATTCAGTTCGGCGTAATTTTCCCTCGATTTGTTTGTTGAGCTTATAAATTATCATAGCATTTACAGCGGAAACATTTAATAAATTATAGAATACAACCATTGGCCAAAGTCTCGTATTTCTTGCTACATTATTTTTTTGGCATATTTGGTCTACTAAATCTACTCCAATCTTGGTACTGTTGTAAAATGTTATAATATCCGGCTTTTGATATTCTCCTGTCTTCACTGATTGCACTATCGTGATGCATGGTAGAAACTGCTAGAACTGCTTTATTCTTTTGTGGACAGTAAGAAACAATTGTACAGTTTTCCTGGAATCCAAAAATTGAAGTAAATTTATCCCGGTCTTTTTGGGGAAGAAACTCCTTAGGAATTTCTCTTTTATTTTTTCTGAGAGTACCTACGTATGTTAATTTCTTTTCAGTCAGCAGTTCATTGATTAATGGAATACTAGTGAACCAGTTATCTCCTGTGATGTTTCTATTTGTACCCTGAACTGGTTCCACCATCCTCATCACAATATCTTTGGCATTGTTACTTTGCTGATATGGACCTGGGGGTTGCAATCCAACATACGTTTCCAGTTTCATAGTATAACCTGTTTTAGCATCAACCAAAGCAAATGTTTTAATGCCATATTTACTTGGCTTATTGGGGATGTACTGGCGGAAAGCTGCACGACCTCTAAACGCAAGCAATTGCTCGTCTATAGTTAGATATTCACTCGATGAGAAATATTTCTCAAAATTATTGGTGAATAGTTCAAACACTTCCCTAATTGCTGCCATTTTATCAAGTTCTTTACGCATGTTACGGTCATTGATGTTGTCAAATCTCAAACATCTCAAAAGGAAACGGAACCTTTGTTCACTCATAGTAAGATAACATGATTCAATGTCATTTCCCTTGGAGTTATCCCATAGTAAATGAATATTTTTACGAGAACATCTCATGGTGCCTATAAGGAACAACAATCCAAAATGCCCTTATTTCTATCTCATCAGTACTCCTTGCATCTCTGTCCCTTGTAAATTCTTGACGTGTTTTCTCTATATAAATATTAGTGCACGCTGTAATTGTTTTGAGAATATTGTCGTCTAAAAAGAGTTCTAAAGCTGCTACTTCTGTTTTCACTTCTCGTGCTTCACCTTTGGGTCCTGGTAAATGAATAATAATGTTATGGGACCTTGTTTTCACATTTCTTGGAGGATTCGCTTTTCTCCATTTCGTTATTTTGTCCTTCCAAATGTAGAAACTAGAAGAATCTAAAGGCACGTCTTCGTCACTTTCAACTTCTTCACTTTCCGCAACCTCTTGTTCCGATTCTGTATTATGCTCACTCTCTGTCAGTATATTTTCTTCCTCTTTGTCACTTTCATCTTCATCCTTAGAGCTTTCACTCAGATCACTTTCATCACTTAGTTCATGGTACCACTTCAGCCATACATTGGGATCATTACTGGTCTCTACTTTTCTTTTTTTCTGTTCAGACATGGCCTTGCTACTACTTCCAAATACCTAAAGCAAAAATACCTTAGCATAGGGAGAAAAAATATTAAAAATTGAATTACCTTTGCCACAGTACAACAACATCTTAATAATAATTTAACAACGTAGAAGGTCGCGCGGGGGACACTTGTCAACCACTCAGCTTTGGTCAGCGATATCTCCACTAAACACGCACAAGCCGTACTAAATATTTGACGGCACAGACATCTATCATAACATGAAAGATACTCGGAGCGATGTTGCCAAGTGAGCTGAAATATTTAAATAGTGGCATATTAAATGAAAGTGGGTGACGATTGTCACCCGCGCGACTGACCTAGGGTTAAACAGCTGTAACTTTTTTGGACATATACGCAGACCATATCTCGCATTTTCGAATTAGATAATAATGCGTGTCTAGGCGTCTTAAACTAAAGTGATAAATACACAATGAACAGTGAAACTAATACTAAAAGTACGCGATAAAAGGTCATAGATTACGGCATTAAACGTGCGAGTTTGAATTTTTATAACCACACATCAAAGTAACTGACAACGTAAACCGTGACGGTGACAGTGACGTTTATAATTTATCTGGTCAGGCACAGCCTACTTAAAAGATATTTCAACTTAGAAAAATGAAATTTTATCTTGAGTGCATTAAAAACTTTAAATGTAAATATCTCGAAAAGGGTCAATCATAGCTAGATTGTTAAAGTATACCTATTTTAAGCAAACATGCATATTTTAAATAGAAAATTAAATTATACCAAGCGTAAAAAAGTTACGAAGTTTAAAAAAACAGAAAATGTTGCTGGTGGCGCCCTTTATAAGATTATTTTGAAAAAGAAGATTTGCCATTATAAAAAACCCTCATATGCCAAATTGCGTTAAAAACGAAGAAAAAAATACAATAAGTTATTCACCCTGTATCTTGGTTGCCTTTGACTTTCGGACTAAGAAAATTCAACTTAATCTCAATATTTCCTTGAAAGGATTCTGCTGTTAAATTACTTACCATTACTTATGGGACACCCTGTATAAACGAATAGAATTCAGGTGAGGATTTTCCGACTTATTCCGTTTATGTGAGATATCTAGACGAGATTCTGAACCAAAATTGGGGTTATCATACTACTGAGTACGTAACATTGCCACGATTTACCACATTTTTATTTTAAATATCTAGAAAGGCGTGTGTCCAGATTCGCTTGATTTTTTTATTATAAATTATTCCGTCAAAGGGTCAAAAGGCAGTAATTTGGTAAAAAATCTTATGGGAAGTATACTTTAAGCCTCCAGTACTCGGCTATATTGGTTTAACCTAATACTAAATGCTAGGGTCGTGTGTCTCTAGCCTAAAACAAATACCCTATAAACGAAAACATATAAATAGACGCTAGAAGTATAGTATAATGATTTCACAGTAATCTGACTTTTGACAGGATAATACTTTCGGTTTATTGGCAGGTTTGTAAATACTATACTTGCAAGCACAGAATATCTGAATTGTGGGCTAGTACCTCCAAATTTTTTTACGTTCTCTATTCTCTCTCATTTTCCGTAATACTGATGAGAGTCATATACTGTATTATGATCATACTGTAATAGAAATTTAATGTGCATAATAATGTTATAAATGTTTCACTAATATATTGTAAAGTGCTAATATTGTAAAGTTTGTACAGGGTAATGTAAAACGATTAATACTTGCAATGCCGTGATTTGTAGAACGATCATATTGTGATTGTTCCCCGTAAATGCTAATTCAAATATTGTTTGGAAATTGATTGAAGTCGTGATATTTAGTCCTTAGTACAGTCTGTTTTGGCTAGAGTCTAGTTTATTTTTATTACGAGGAGCAAGGTTTAAAAAACTGTTGAACCACGCTTTGTGGGGCCTTAAGAAACGATTGAGGCACGCATGAACTTAAAATTTGAAGTTTCCATTTCAATTTCAATTCCAGCATAAAACATCTAAAATTTGGTGTTCTGTGATTGTCAGTGCCGCAAGAGGTGTATAACGAGAAATATGAACTTTTTTGCATTAACGAGCTGGCTTATCTGATTTCATTATATGCTTCATTTTTTTAGTCTTAGGGCTCATTGTATTAACAACTCCTATACAGTGTTGCCCGTCTATGGAAAATAAATTGAATTGAATCAACAATATACAATATTTCACTGGGAATATTTGTATCTACCACAATGGATCCATTAGACTCTGTTTATTTTACATTTTACCTTTAAATTGATGTCTATTATGGTGACTGCTTTCATCAAAGCATGAACATAACTATTGAAAATCAAAAACTGGAATATCGTTATCATTCGTACCTTAATCGTTTTTTCATACACCACAAAATATGTTTCATTATTTTTTTTATTTTTTCTCCGTAATAAAAATTCGATGAAACCGGATTCTCTCGTTTTGTTTTTTATGCTGTTGTTAATCTGATTGATGTGTTTGTAAAAGCATTGAAAATATCTCGTCATAGGAAAGAGACTAATGCATCTATTTATTCGTATATAAAGTTTTTGGACATATTGCGAAGTAGCGAAATCGTAAAAGAACAGAAAACACGCTTTTGATTCCAGTGCTCAAATATAATTGACATAGAGCTGATGTTGTAATTTCAACTCAACCGCAATGCTTCAAAGCATGCAGGAAATCGAGGGTTCAAGTCCCAACATTATTTGCTTACGTTTTCCAATTTGTTTTTCAGTAAATCCTTTCAAAATTAATATTGAATTTATTCGTTATCAATTACAAATCTGGTATGCTGATATTCATCCATGTGTCTGGCCGCTAAATGAAACCAGATATGCTCTTATGCTTTATTTTGTTTCTTTTATTTTTCCCTAAACGGTGTGTTACCAGAATAGAGTGAACAGTCCTAAACGAGCATGTATGGGATATAAGATAAAATGTGAGGAAGTCTCAATATTACCCAAATAGAACAACAGTTAAAAAAATAAAGTAAACAAATCAGCCTATATGAAATTAAACAACAATTGCCTTTCTAGTTCTTCTGTTGAGTGTGGCCCAATTTGGTTTAGTATCCTCGAACGAATATCTAATTGATATTCTGAAATCTAACTATACCCCATTCGTAGTCGATTTACTCCCAGACAAGACCCAACATGCCCAAAAGCGAGATTGTACAGGTCCGTATTGTCCTCATTGGTCTTGAGATAACCTAACAAAATAAATTATTATTTTTATATAAAGATGTGCACATACTTTTTACAATTCTTTATTCGCTGAAAGTACTTGAATCATCGTCCGAATGGTTAATATCAATTAGTACACTTTCAATTTGAATATCGATCATATTGTCCAGATCCCACATCTTTGTTTTGATTGTCTCTTGAACGTGATGGATGCGATCTTTTCAATGGTATGCCGTCAATCTGTTGACAGCTTCATAACTCAATGTTTTGTATAGTGAACCATCTGTTTTTTTCTTCCAGGTTTTTTCTTCTGGTTTGGTATTCGATCTCAAATGAGCTATCTCAAGACCAAACTTTTATTACTTCCTCACAATGCAAATAGCATAGTTCCCTTTAGATTTCAAAGCACTATTTGTCGCATTTTGGAACCATAAAGAATGCACCTGCAGCGTTTGCAGTCGTAACAGTTAATTGGTGCTTTGCGACAATACACGTTAGACGAGGGTAACGTGTCTGGTACATTAATAAAAGGCATATAACCTCATGTTCGCTTGTCGCTTTAGAGGGCTTTTGTGTCATCTTAAAATTGCCCAATCTCAACATATTAGAGTACTATTCAGAATATTGAAGTAACATACTGTATAGGAATGTGCAAGTGGAAGACGGGTGTATAGAACTTATTCTCACCAGAACTGTCCATTTTACTTGAAAACGGCCACCGTGGTGGCCCAAACGTTGTCGTCTATGAACAGTATTACAAGAATTATGTGGATTTATTATGCACCCGGATCAACTTTTAAGCATAAAAACCACAACATATAACAAAATCTTCTTCCTATGACTATTGCTTCTGATTGTGAACTGTTTATATCTATCTTGTTGCAAAAAACTATTACTGGCGACGAGTAATATTGTTACAAACGAAGATATCCCTGTATATTTTTTTTACCAAAGAAACTTACGTATTAATAGACTATAAGTGGTACGTAATTTTTTTTACCAAATATTTGTATACTTATATGGGACCTATTAATATAAGCTTATATGGAAATTATATACCCCTGAGTGGCATTTATTGTACATAGTTATTTTTATTAATATTTTTTTAATACCCCATATGTAGACTGCTTCCCAAATAGGGTAGAACTGTGTCTTCGATCAACTGTGAATATGTATGTATATATTAGGTGTGTATATATAATATCATTAAACTGTTTTTCAGGTCAATATTGCTTTCCAAAAAATTTACGTCAAGAAGGTTGGGCAGATTTTGGTTGTTAAAATCTCATTTACGAAATCCCATAACCCTAAAAACCATCTTTAGTCATCATGAATCCTTTTCAGACCCTTAGGATAACTTCTGAATTTTCATTTTCTAACAATACAGGTGTCCTGAGAGCTGGCACTTTCCTTTTCTGAAAAAAACTCTTTTGAAATCACGATGCTAATTTCTGGTAAAACAGCATAAAAACGAAATTGAAGAGATTCCTCACTATTCGTTTGGTAAGGAATTTTAAGTAATGCCCACTTAGGGCTGTAAAAATCTCCCAATATGTCTATATGGTTTTTGCACTATATAAACAAACCTACGCGTATCTGATGGAAACATCGCGGTCGATGTTCTCAGTTCATTTTGATGTAATATGTTATTAGGAAAGCTTGCTCATAACTGTACTGTACTCTGTAGACGAAAGTGTCAACTCTAAGGATACCCTGTATACAGGGTGTTGATAAAGTATGTAGACAAAGTTTAAACATCGAATCCTCGGTCAATTTGAAGACTAAATGTTCCTATGAACATGGGTCCGTAACAGCTTTCTTGTCGACCTAGAGCAGATTAGCACTAAACGGACTGATATTGTGCTAAAAAATTATAAAAGAATGGAACGTATTTTATTTTAATTATGCCCTGTAGTAAATATCACATGATTTACAGTTGTTTTCAGACCCATGTACGTAGATACGGATAATGTTATCCAGTATTTTTTTAAAAAAATAGCATGACATTGATTTGTTTTGATCGCAATACTTTTAATATTTAAGCTTTGTGCTTATCTAGACACCTGTGATGTACCCGAAAACAATTGAATTAATTTATTTTCGTGGCCAGCTCGAACATTTATTGTAAAATAATCTATATTTGATATTTTCTATTGTTGTTGTTCTATTCGAATGTTACTGTTCAAAACTATTGACCTTCTAAATATTCATTTTTTTTTTCTTAAGTACAGGATAATACTATTTTCATCCTCGTTCATATTGAGCCTCAGAAACTTGTAAAACATGCAACATTTATCATAGGTTATACCAACGGTTCAATAAATACGTCATTGTTCATAGAAATATTTGGAACTTTACTCGTATTTCTTTAGTGATAGTGGTCTAGCTCAAAAAGAAAGCCGTTACGGACCCATGTTCATATGTGTCTACATACTTTATTAGTACCCTGTATATTACGAAATCTGGAAAAACATTGAAACACGTCTCATATACGATACATAAATTGGATGTACAGCCAAAAGTGTTCATGACCAAGACTGACCCCATTGCTTTTTCAGTACAATGCTCAACATTTATTTACGGACGTAAATTTTCATCTGGTAACCAAGTCGTCTCAAAACTATGCTTTCTTAGTTTGTTAGTTTGGAAAAAATGAGATTTTTAGTTACGTTTTGTTGTTTGCTCATTTGTTGTTAATCTATTTATTGAAATTTATTTTGTTTTCATTAAATAAATAGTTTATGTGAAATGTGATATAAACATAAACGAGAATATTAAAAATAAAAATTGAATGGTTACCTTTTGTTTTACTTTAAACGCTAAAATCGAAACCCTAATAAAACTATACGGTAAGGTAATTCAGACATCGTGCTCCAATCAGCGAAAAATAAAATTCCTGCATTGTGTGACGAAAAACATTTTTTTATTTGGAAGTTGTAATAGCACGGAGAAGTTCCAAATTATACAGACAAAGAAAATAAGTGTTCTTCTAGTGATCAAGTGTACTGGAATCGGAGGAATCTATGTAAAAAATGTAACCACTGTCAAACTGAAATTGCAGTTTTTCATCGGCTCGAATACTTTTCAACCTACCCTCGTAAACAGTCTTACAAAAACTTCAAATGGAAGTAGTAATTGTTATCCGCATGGGTAGTATGTAAAAAATCTATAAAACGTCAAAAAAACCTACAAAATGTCATCTTGCAGACTAGGTAGTCTTCAGGGTGCGAACAGTCATTCCACGTTTGCTCACTAGGATTGTTGTGAGCGTCCATCTATGGAGGAATAGCTCAACTACACGCATTGTTGGTTGCATATCTTTTGTGAAGCCGAGTAGTCTATTGTTTTCATGTCTGAGAAGAAAGTTGGTTGAATAGCAAGATCACATCTGGATGATTGTGTGTATTGATATGCTACCAATGAAGTATATATATATATATGAACTGTGCCCAACGGGTTATTTATATGTTGTCCTTTCTGAAGACAGGTTATGTTCAGGGTTATAAATTACGATTTTTTACGTTTTTTTTTGTGTTTTCAAAAACACAAAATCACCACCGCGTCCGCGTTCTGTGTAATTACTGTTAGCATGTATATGACTTGTAATGCGACAGTGTGTGTATGAATATAATTATTTCTTAACTCTCTCATTTTTGAAATTCAGCAAATTTGCTCATGACATTTCCAGAATGCATAAGAAAAAGTGGATGCGCCACTAATTTCTAGCATCTCAAGTAACACCTAAGCATCGCGGTTACCTCCAGTAACACCATCTCTGAAACAGATTTTACATCACACCCAAACATTGATACCTGAAGCCTCACGACGTTTAGGCAACACGTACAACCACAAAACGAGTTTACAACGTATCCATCAGCTAGTGCTAAGTTAGCGTTTTGTAGGAAATCCTCGGTTACGATGATTTCTTTAGTGTTAGTTACCTTGAACGGCAGTAGGATTGAAGGATATAGCCTGGTGAAATTAATTTCCCAAACATCTGTAATTTTATAGGGTAAATTAAAAGATTCTCTGGTCGATAATAAGTCTTACTGATTTCGCAAGACAGTGGTGGGTTTCTATGTGTGCATTCCCAGCCCAGTGCAGGTGCATTTGTCCAATACAGAAGATATTCGACGTTTTACTTATAGTATGTCTAGTGCGTGACCAGCTTTTCCAAAGAATGCGTTTAAAAAAACTTTCTCAGAGGTCAGTCCAGTTGTAATCCAAGTCCAGTTACTACTTGCTACTACTTCCAAAGGCCAAAATCATAGCGTTATTTTTTACTTAAAAGTGAAACAACTTACATATGAGAACATTTTTATTTGAACAACTTTTCACGTAACATTCACAAAAATCGAACTCAAAACTAACTCTATTTCCGATTATCTTCTCTTAATGACCGCCCTGAACGGTTTCGTCCTTGGCGTGACCCCATCCAGCCATTCCAAAGTGGCGGGAAATTGAGGAACAGCACAAAACGTAAATTTCTGAAGCATGGCTGCGATGAAGAGGAATACATTCGCTCTCGCCAACGTCTCACCCAGACATCTGTGCTTGCCAAAGCCGAACGGTATCAAATTCTCTGGAACAGATATCTTCCCGTCTCTGATGAATCTTTCAGGCCGGAAGATGTGAGGCTCCTCGAACCCGCAGTCTTCTTCCAACATGCAGCCGTACAGGTTCGCGATTACTGTCACGTCCTGAAATATTTACAAATTCCTGTTTCTCCATTATGTTACTTGACTATGAAAAATGCGGATTTTGTTTGTCATACTCGGATTCAGGGGTCATGACCCCCCCTCCAAGGCGAATTTTGGTCGACCACCAATTTTTCCAAATCTCTTAGATAAATCTGTAATGCACACATATTAAATGGAGTTGTGCTGTTATTTTCTACTAAACACTTGCAGCACTGCATCCTTCAACTTTGATTTAACTGTAAGCTCATAGATGATACCGCAAGACTGGTTGCCTATGCGGTCAGCTTGATGTAGGCAAAACTTTTTACACTGAGAGGGCCCAGTCGTATGATCGGGGACAGACGGCAAATAGTGGCACTATAACTGTTTTTCGAATAACATAAATTACTGGAATTATTCACAAATAAAATACAATGGAAGCTTTGAAAGTTGCATGATAACTCAGAAATTAATATCAAACTTTAATGCGTAATGTCATGTTAGTACAATCGTACAGCTTATAATGCGCATCGTAATTTTTTGAAGTAAATTAAACTTGATGATTCACCAGCAAACTTCTTGTGCATAATAGAGTTTAAAAGTTATCACGGATGCTACCGATAAGTAAAGGGCTTCGAGTCAAAGGAGTGCACGCCTTTTATAGAATTTTCATAAAATTATAATTAAGAAAGAAAAACAAATATGATCGATAGTTGTTGTCATGTTTGTTGTGATTAATATGTCATCGAATACAAACTTGGTGAACAACACTAAGATAGGTTAAATAACGTGCATTACTACAGGATATATACTTATTTGCCAAAGTGATATTCTCCCCATTTATCGATATTTGCAAATTAATGACGGCAACTCAGAATAAAAAAATTAGAAAGACCTGTACAAGTAACCGAAACAAATTCATGGACAGTGCAAACGATTTTTTTTCAATATTCACGCGGATCTAAAAATTTTCTATAACGTAAGATCCATCTAAATTGTTCAGATAAAGTTCGAACTACAGATTTTGCTGGCAATAACGATGTCACATATTAACAGGGGCTTACAATTATATGCACAATAGTAGCTGCTGAGCACTGTTACCTCTGTTTTTTTACTATATGAATCAAGTAGAGACTCTGAGATCAAACATTTTTTATTCAATACAAAGTAACAGAATTATTCTAATTTGAATCCGCGTCTTGCTTTTCGTTCAGCAAAAATTTCCATCGCAGAATCCAAATTGAGTGTATTAGCTACTGATCTTTCGATATAAAGGATAGAGAAGTTGCTGAGTTTGTCTTTAGCCAAAAAAGCTCGACGGTATTCTTTAATAATTTTCAAAGAGCTCCTGACACGTTCAGCACCAGCTGAACCGATAGGCAAAGTCGAAAACAATCTGAATAATCTGCAGCTCTCTGGAAAACTGTCTACAAAATTGCTTGCAACTTCGAATAATCTAGCGGGCTGTCATTAGTGAAATTACGATTTTCCGAAAAATAGATGGTCGTAAAACTGGCTACTTCATAGCTTAGATATATAGAGAAAAATTTCGAATATTATTCTATCAAGTTAAGTACGCTGGTTTCTAATTCGTTTTCTTCTAGATTGACTAATTTCTCTGGTGTCAAAAAATCAAACACATCATTCACTTCACTTCACAGTACGTTATTGCAATTCGTTGCTCATTGAATCCAAAACTTCGTAGTAATTTATTCGATGTTTTTCGTATGTTTCCAGTGACGAGTCAGCAGCTTTTTCGTCGAAATTTTTTTTGATTTTACTCCTTATGACAAGGAATTTCTCATTCCATCTCTTCCCATTTATTCTTAGCCTTTAGATCTAAATTATCGTGCTTTCACTCGTCAAACCTTTTAATTTTTTTAATGCTGCTGAAATGCACCTTTGAGCCATCATCAAGTCTATTTCTTTCTTTTGCATTTGAACCGCACAGTACTCATTACGCTCAATACAGAATGCCACCATAACAAATTGAGGAAAAAGGTCCAGTTCATGGAGGAAAGGAGATATCTTGCATGCATTATATCTTCGCAGGAAGCTCCTACTCTTGAAATTTCATCTTCTATGCAATTGATAATACATTCAAAAAATTTCTTCCAACATTACCTATAATAATATATCACTGTAAGCACCTAATGAAAAAATAACCCCTCTACTCCTTGAGAAATACAAGGGTCATTCGGTGATTTTTCAAAAAAATTCTTAAGAAATTAAAAGAATATAACAACACTCTGATTTCTTCTTATCAATTCTACATTCAGACGCGCTGAACAATATAGACACTAGAGCTGATTTTTGATGGGGGGGCTGTCACCACCCTTCCTTGATGGGCCCAGGTGGCATTGTCCATTTTGCAGTTACTTAAATCCGCCACTGTGACGGTCAAACCCACAAAAAACTTGTTGCACCGGATTCAAAGGAGATGGTAAGTATTAATATGAATCGATTCGCAGGAAGACAAAAAAGAATTAACTTTGTTATTTAACAATAAATTATTCATTTTTAAATTAGATTTAATATTTTAATCACTTTTAGGCTGTACCTTAAGGGTACAAGGGTAAGGTTGTCATCTGCCGTCCGTCCTCCAGGCAAGTCTTTAATTTTTATGTCAGAGGCACTGTGTCATCCCTCCGCTCCCGAAGACTAGAAGAACATCATCCTGAACGTGAAGATTTTTGACCTGGGTGAGCCCCGCCCCCCTCCCGACACAAATCACCGATCCCTGCGGTACTATTATGTAGATTATAGTCGCTTCGTCACGTGACAGAAGACTTCAGTCATTTCTGTCGTACGGACAATTACAACATCCATAGCTAAGAGTAAAATTTCATTTGGGACGGGATTCCAACCCGCGCAACTCACGGCGACTGATCAGGATACCGAAGACTCTACCACTGCGGCCACACATAATTCCAGATGCTATAATCTTTGTTTGACTCAACTTCAAGCGCCAGTTCTAGTTTTTTTCCGTAAGAGCCCTGCTGCTGATGTATATTTTGATATCCGGCCCAGTTGTTTGTAGGTATGATGGTGAAGGAACTACTTTCATTGAGCATGGTATCAAACAATAGGTTTATTGAATGGTAAACTCTCACCTTGTAATACTAACCTTTGGTATAAGATATCCGTTGAGATACGTATCCTTCAGCGACCGATGTGGCACTGTGAATGCTCTTCCAGAAAACATTCTTAGTGATTCGAGGACTATACATTCTACATATGGCAATCTAAAATATAAAAAATAAGATTCTTGAAAAGGACATGCTAGCTTTCCGTCTCCTTTAACCATGACCAATGGCGTCTAGCGCTGTTTCTTGCTTATTAGCAACTCGTCAGTGCGGTATGGGTCTTAGATCTAAGCACTGTGGCTGGTTTAGCATCATGCATGTACAGGGAAGCCAAAATTTGCATGAATGGAGTATCGCTTCAAAACACCAACTGTTTTACACCCTGGATAATCCTGGAAATTTTTTACAAAGTCTCTCAGAACCATATTAAATCTACACAAGCTTGGACGTCCCTGTACATGTGATACGTGGTAGGATAAATTTCCAACAACTATGTGTACGAACTATAATACATTGTAATAGGAGTTCGGTTTGCCCAAATTGAACGCCCTATAGCCCGGAAACTACTCGTAGAAAAACTTTGGGCATATGGACATTTTTCCTTTACATGTTGAGATTTTTCAAAAAAGTAGCCTAATAGCATTTCCCATTATAATAATAATAATACTAATAGTCTGGCGGGTATCGGCTACAAAGCGGCTCCCACCACCAACAAGGGCTACACAAAGTAACATATTTTTTTAAGCGGCCACAGTCTGATAAAAATTTAAAGAGAATAAAATAAGTGAGGACTGTCAAAATAATCTGAAAGCAATCAGTTATACTACTGTATCTGTCAGCAGATTAAAAAGGAAATGTAACGAACACGCACTAACAATGTACTAACTAAACAAACGACACAATGAAAGAACGCTCGGTACAAAAGAGAGGATAATGTTACATTTCCCACAAGACACAATGCAAGATACGTATGAACAGCCTGCTGCACATTTGAACAAAGACTTTTAAAACTTATTAAAAAACTAATGACTTGTTATCAGAGACGAATTGATTCACTCTCTTTGCGAAACTAAATTTGGAAGGTGTCTTCACACTTGACTTATTGTGGGTGCGATATCAGAAAATGATTTCTTGAATTTATGATACGGTATGTCCAGAGTGTAACTCGTCAAACTAAGCTTACTAGGGTCATTAAATGAACCAGCCACTTCTGCAGCATCGTAAGCCAATGTATTTCTCTTAAATGCCTAAAAATGTCTCTCTCTCTTTTTGCTATACCTAGATAATCCCTAAGACAACTATTTTTAACCTTTTGAGTCCTGTACGTCTCAGCCGGTGTCAAGTATGGACCAAAAACCGAATCACCATATTGTACGTTAGTTTACCCAAAGTCAGAAAACCATAAATTATAATTTTCGTTTTTTTTTGTGGGAGAACGGCTTTATAATTGTAAAAAGCTAGTTGCGGAAACAAAAAATAAACATTACCAGGTTAGTATTTTTAAATCGAGTAACAAAAACCAAAGCCACTTCAAATACTGTAGCCGAGTTAACTGGCAGTAAAAAGAGGGAACGTAGTATAAATAATACTGACACCATAAATCTGAACACTCTTCCTAATGAACCAATTTATCAAAAATGCGCCATTGAGCATCGCCAAGAAAATCTCATCAACTTTAGTAAAACGAGATAATACGCCTTTTAATCAAAATAATCAAATTCGATCCTATTATATCCCTTTGAAGATAACGAGTATCTTAAATTGGTTGATCAAAGATTGAAAAACAAATATTCTTCAAGACCAGATGAGATACTACAAGTTGTTATATGGTAAAACCTTGTGTTTTTCTGATATACATTTTTGTACAGGAGAATTCCCAAACACTCTAAACACTGGTAAGGTAATATCAAAATACAAAAAGGGGGATCCCTCGGAAATGAGTAATCTTAGACCAGTGACACTTTCCAGACTGTTTGAGCATAATTTTATGGACAAAATGTTATTTTTTCTTAATAATAATATCTTAACTCAAAGTCAACCCTGCTTTCGCAGTGGAAAATCTACGTCAACAACAATACATAACTTTTATGGAACCCTTATTGAACTGATTGAGGAGGGTGAGTGCCCAGTTGGGATCTTCTGCGATCTCAGCAGGGCTAAGCTTCATTGCTAATACATGATCATTCAGCTTACTATAGAAATTACTATTCTTGGATTTGAACTTAACTACAGCAGACCCTTTGGAATTAATACATAGGTCGTGATTCTCGAACCATTTGGAAAAGTTGCTCAAATCGGGAGCTAACATTCTCTTCGATATAGATTATGCAATGGCAAGTAAATCTGTGTATGATCAGCATATGAGTGCACATGACGCACTTGATAGAATTAACTAGGTCTGTGACATCAAACGTAAATAAGATCGAGCCTAAAATTGATCTCTGAGGGCCACCTTTACCAAGTTCCTTTTCATCAGAAAGACAATGCCCAATTTTGCCCTTCTGTACGCGCCCAGCTAGATTGCTCTGGAGTCAAATGATTTACGAGAAAATCCAAAATATTGTTACTTTGCTAGAAACATTCTATGATCCAAACATTAAAATACTTTACTCAAATCGATGAAAGTAGCTGTCTTATACAAAAAGCATCAATAGCGCTCAGATAGTAATCACAAATATCAGTTAAAACTTATGATTCTTTTATTTGGCAAATTCCTTGAATGGGTCTGCTCGATGTTGCTGGGTGAACTAGCATTACGAGAGTGCGGCTTCTTAAATATCAAAAATAAGTCCGGCTTTATTCTTTGATCACCCCTAATACCTACTTTGGCCGATCATCCAACGACGGCACCCTGATCTTCCCCACAACAGCATCGATTTCATCCTGTGCCTTCTTCTGGACCTCAGGATACAGTATCAGGTACAAGAAGCAGAAACTGAGCGTATTGCTGGTAGTCTCAGACCCGGCCATGAACATGTCCATCGACAGAGCGACCAACTGTTCTTCTGAGAAGCTCTCGTGGACAAATTCCTTCTCGGCTGACTTGATGACGTTGAGGTAGATGTCCATGACGTCGCGAGGCGCGTCTGGGTTGTGCGTCTTCTTGTGGTACTCTAGTTCTTTGAAGAGGAACTCCCAGATCCGTGTATGGGATCTTACGTATAAGTTATACCCTAAAAAACAATAACTGCCTTATAATCTATTAATAATTTCGAAGTAGTTCTTTGTGTGTTCAAAGTGCTCCTAACTGCATGCTAAATAGGCCACCTATGATTTGTTGAAAAAAGGTTTTGTTATGTTTAAACACCAAGAAGAGGTTACGCTGAACCGAGCTTTTAAACGCTTCAAAAATGAATGTATAATCTGGGGATGATCAACTGCTTGTACAGCTACTTGAAGGAGAGAAACCTTTGAAAATATTGTGCATGTACAGGGTGTTCCAATCATGCCAGGGTGAAATACTGGTCATTTCAAAAAAATTTATTCAAAGTAAACTATTTATGGTTACCAAAAGGACGGCCAACCATGGGACAGACAGAATCGTCAGCCATCTAGCGGTCACGTGATGACTGTGCTATTAAACGCGAACTGAGATCATTAACAGTTCCAAATAATAGCAGCTATGCGCTTTGCGAAGTGAAAGATTCTGGTGTGATAGATGGCGCTTTGTGCTGTCTTATTTCAATATATCGTACCTCTGGAAAGAGGATTGTTGCGATGCTTTCATTCATTTGTCTAGAGACAAGGAACCAAGCCTAGACCATTCTGGTGAGTAGTCAAGAAGCACGAAACAGCTGTCCATAGTTGGCTTGGGCAGACGAAGGCATCATCTTTAACTCACAATTATACAGGGAGTCCCAATTTTGACCCAAACATCAAACTTGATTTTTTTTAATAGAATGTCGCTCTTTTTATTTCATATTCAAAATGATCCTTTTAAAAGAACGAGATTTATATAACATACTCATGCGCTTTGAGGATTAGTTTTTGAGCTACTGGGTTTTGTATCTAAAAAAAAAAAATATCAGCGTTTGATAGTCTGAGTACCTGCTATCTTCATAATTGGAGTAGCGAGTTTTGTATCCCGACAGGTTTTATTATACTTAGTTCGTCTATTTTTCGATTTTTTTGAATTATCAATACAAGGTGGTCGAAGACGCAGAATGTACTCTTTCGCAGAAAAAAGTAAATGGAACACCCTGTATATCGTCGCGCTGTCGGATCTTCATTATCATGAGTTTTTTCTTTAATATGAAGTCGTTACCGTGTTGATCAAACGGCTTATTTGTTTCAAAAATTATATATTTCTCTATTCAAACAAATCACATCATCCATGGACTAAAAAATAAGTAAAGGATTATTGACTGTCTGTTTATTTTTTCATTACGAGCGTTTTTGATATACAGGGTGACTTCGAAGTTGAGTCATTTATTTTAACAGTGAGTAGATCTGATCAAAAGAAATGTTTTTTTCCTTTACCATTTTTCTGGTAAAATTAAAGTAACAAAGTTATAGCCCTTTGGAAGTTTGAGTACCGCCCTGTCTCAATAATAATATTATATGCTCGTGTTTGGCGACAACGGATATAATCCGCCGTATCGGTTCATCGCATCCGAAACAAAAAAGCGAAAGAATTTGGAACGATGTTTTTACAATTATTTTATTCAGTTCAGTTATACATACAGTTAGTGTCAGTCGGTAACGCGTGTGAATAGTGTCTGCTGCGTGGCTCAAACGAAGTAAAAAATGGCACATGTTTATGCGGATCGGTTTCCCAATCGAGTGCAACCAACCCCTCGTGCCTTTGTTAATGTAGTACAGCGGGCTCGTGAACCAGGTGACTTAAAACCTCACAGAGGACTGCATGCCGGTGCTCCAAGACCTCACGATCAAATACAGGTCCGCACTGAAATACTTGTCGGGAGGATACTTTATAAAACAAGGTAAACATTTTTTTTTTATTTTTACACACATATTTTGGTTTATCTTCCTTCTACAATCACTATCTGAAAATTAATGACTCAACTTCAAAGTCACCCTGTATAACCGTAATGGCCTAATGTTCAGAGAAAATTAAGAGTTGGCAAAAAAGCAACGTAAACCTACTTGGTTACATTTTTAATTTGTATCCGGCACGTTGAAATGATATTCTTGCTTCCTTTGTTAGATGATGCACACTACCGTTCAAAAGTATTTGAGCACCTGCATCTTTACATTTAAAGTCAAACAAAAAAAGCTATTGTGTAGGTACGTATTTTTTTCTTTTATTTATTGGAAACCATCACCATGGAAATCAAGCTTTACTGGAAGGTCATTGAAATCAAAATTTTGCTCACATTATTTTTTTATATAGGAATTTCATTGCCTTCAGAATATTGTTATGTTTTTGTATAGGAATTCTTTCTCGGGATTTGTTTTTCGATTATTTCTTTCAACTTGTGTTGAACATAAGCTCATAACACAGTTTTACTACAGTTATTTTGTCTCATTTGATAAACTAAGCGTGCTTCAATACCTTATAGTTCAAGATTGTTTAACAAGTGCGTTTTCGTTTATTTTTCTCCGGTCAAAATGGATAAAACTAAAGAATATTCCTAAGAGATAAAAGTCGTTATTATTGGTCTTCATAAATGCGGTAAAGGTATTCGAGGAATGTCTACACTTCAGAAGGTATCACTGTCATCTGTACACTACATTATCAAAAAAATTAAGGCGCAAGGCACAACATCCAACAGCCGACGCCCAGGGAGACCTAGAGTTACAGCTTCCACTGAAGACTTAGGCATGAAAGTGAAAAATAAACGTAATGAACGTATGATTGCACCCGAAAAAGCAGCGGACTTGAATGTGGGCAGTAGTAAACCTGTAAGTCTGACTACAGTTAAGAGAAGGTTACTCGAAGCGGAACTTAAGCGATGCAGGGCAGTACCAGAACCACACCTCAGGGCTACTAACAAGAAAAAGAGACACAATTGGTCCAAAATTGGACATTTGCTGACTGGACAAAGCTCCTCTGCAGCGATGAATCGAAATTTGAGGTCTTTGGTACCAAGAGAAGAGTATTTGTCCGCCTAATGGGAGGACATTAGAATCATGCACCCTGCAGCATGAACGATGGAGGCCTTATAATGATTTGGGGCTGTTTTGGTTGTTCCGATCTGGGGGATATTGTGAGAGTACAGGGAAGACTGAATAAAGAAGCTGTACTCGTACTACAAAATCGTGTTGTGCCTCCTGGGACTCGTCTTATTGATCCGAAATACACATCCAAGCTCTGCTAGCAATTATTGGAAGCATTAGACGAGCAAAATATTTTGAAAGTCATGCAATGGCCTCCCCAATTCCCGGATTTGAGTCCGATAGAATTGTTGTGGGATGAACTGGGCAGACAAGTTCGGAAATGTCCTACATCTCAAGAACACTTATGGAGAATATTACACGACGAATAGTGGAAAATAGCGCCATCCACTTTAGAAAAATTAGTTACGCCATCGTTTGCCAGGTCGCAATTAAAAGTAAAAAAGGACATGCTGATGAGACAAAAATTATTATGATTATGAATAGTTTTATGTTGTTAGTAATTAAGAAAATAAACGTTTAATACAGATATTGTAATGTTTCTTTAATAACTTCCATCAGTTTCCTTGTTTCCTGTGTGTTTTAAATACTGTTGAACGGTAGTGTATATACTTATGATTGAGGATCGTGGAAATGTTTTCATATTTTGTCACTAAAACCAAACAAATCAAACGAATCCCATTGAATACAATTTGTTACGCATAATCAAACTCATTTGTACTCTGATAAAAATCAAGGAGATATAATTTCATTCATAACTTTCACGTACTGTCTGCATGCAATAATGTGTAGCTAATTTTTTTATATCTGACCGAGCACGATATCACAAATGTGTATAAAGTGAGACTTGCGCAACGGATGTAATACGTGATATAAAAGGTTCATTCAACGTCTTTATGATCATTATCGTACATTCCAATCTCAATGAATCTCCATTCATATATCGAAAAGCTTTGGGATAATAATAATCTCTTATGTTATCGCAGTACTTGATATGTATGTGTTACAAAACATATGCGGTGACATTTGATTTTCACCATTGGTACCGATACAATAACAATATTGATATTGAGATAAACTTAGAGAAAATATTCCACAGGACCTGCCTAGCTAAGAACAACTACGAACATACAAGCTAATGGATATTTACACTCTCATATTAGCTATCCCATTCTTAACTGAGGTCACTCCTGCCATGCCATATACAGGGTGTTTCAGTTTATTGTTGCATAACTTCAAGATTCGATAGAACTTTTAAAATTAATGCATAAAGTCTATATAAACATGGGTCGAAAAATGCGTGGCTTCCGAAATACAGGGTGTTTAAATTACTTTCTAAAATAGTTTTTTTAAATATTTCGAACAATATTTGATGGATAACAGTAAAATTGGTATACAAGGGTTTTTTGGTACGACAAACTAATAGTTTTACTGTAGCCGCTAGAGGGCGCTCTCTACTGTACCTGTAGTGTATTAAAATGACCGAACAATTTTTCTTAGTGCAATTTGTTGCTTTTTGAATAAAAAAATTGATTATTCGCACTTTTCAACATAAAAACGATCTCCTGTGAGTTTTCGTTATATTACGATTTTTAAGGTTCGATGCATTTTTAATTACTTATGGGAAAATAATATTTTTTTTACATTTTCGATTTGGGCATTACAAGTAATTAAGATGATCGTTTAGATTGTGTTTTTAAACACAGCAATAATTCCTAACTCCAAATAAACACAAAAAAAACAGAATATTAATTTGTTTAATTTTCCAATATTATTTTTATCAAATTAAATTAATTATGTACAACTAAAATGCTATTGGATAGTTAGGACAAACATACAAAATCTAAAGTATTGTTCAATACACAATTCACATCTACGAATGATCGAACGTGGTATATCATTATTCAAATAAGGCCTTATTTCATCACATGCATTCCTGATTCTGTCTATTAGCATATCTCTTGTGGTTACGGGAGTCTGGTACACTTTTTCTTTTAGAAATCCCCACACAAAGAAATCTAATGGATTTAGGTCAGGGATCGTGGAGGCCAGGCGACTGGTCCTCCACGGCCGATCCATCCTTCTGGATAATTTT